CCGTGGAAGTGCATGGAGGAGAGCTTGGCAGTGGTCACATCCGTCATGTGGATGTTCAGAGACTGCGATTGGTCAATGTAGGCGCCACGGTCACCAGCCATGTCCAGCACAACCTTCTGCCTGATCTCCCAGACGGTCTTGTACAGCTCCTTGAGATCCTGCGGCAGGTCCATCTTCTGGACGCTGCCGTTGTGGGCGACCAGCTGAACGCGGAGTTCCTCGTTCCACAAACCGCGCTGGATGAGGTCCTTGAGGAGGTGTCGGTTCACTTGCACGAACTCGCCCGAGAGTACCCGACGAACATAGAGGTTCTGTGTATACGGCTCGAAGGACTCGTTGTTGCCTAGGATCTGGGCGGTGCTGGCCGTAGGCATAGGTGCCACAAGCAAAGAATTCCGGAGTCCGAATTGGGCGATGCGGCCTTTCAGGCCTTCCCAGTTCCAGCGCCCACTGCGTGGCTTCCGATCCCACAGGTCGAACTGCAGCAGACCTTTGCTGGCAGGGCTGCCTTCGTAGGTCTCGTAGGGGCCGCAAGTTTCTGCAAGCTCGCAGGATGCTTCGCACGCCGCGAAGTAGATCGTCTCGAAGATATCCTCGTTCAGCTGCTTCGCGGCCTCGCTCTCGAAGGGGAGCTTCATGATGAGGAAGGCATCGGCGAGGCCCTGGACGCCCAAGCCCACGGGCCGATGCCGGAGGTTGGACTTACGTGCCTCCTCCACCGGGTAGTAATTCCGGTCAATGACTTTGTTTAGGTTTCGGGTCGCCACCTTGGTCACTTGGTAGAGTCGCTGGAAGTCATAGGTGCCATCCGAGCTGGCAAAGGCTGGCAACGAAATGGAGGCGAGGTTGCACACTGCCACCTCGTCCTTCGAAGTGTACTCAATGATCTCCGTACAAAGGTTAGAGCAATGGATCGTGCCAAGGTTCTGCTGGTTGGACTTCCGGTTCGCATGGTCTTTGTACAGCATGTATGGCGTGCCTGTCTCCATCTGAGACTCGAGGATGCGGAACCAAAGCTGCTGTGCCTTGACTGTCTTGCGGCCCTTGCCCTCCCTCTCCAGGCGTGTGTACAGCTCCTCGAACTCCTGGCCCCAGAAATCCATGAGACCCTTACCGCTCTCCTCGTCGTAGGCCTCGTTTGGGCAGAAGAGTGTCCAGTCCTGATTGTCCTTGACCCGCTTCATGAAGAGATCCGGGATCCAGAGCCCATAGAAGAGATCGCGGGCACGCTGCTCCTCCTTGCCGTGGTTCTTGCGAAGCTCCAGGAAGTCGAAAACGTCGGCATGCCAGGGCTCCAGGTACATAGCGAAGGAGCCCTTCCTCTTGCCTCCGCCCTGATCCACATACCTACCCAAGTCGGTCGCTCTATCTCTCTCGTGGCACCGCTGCGCACCCCACAGCACCCTCTACCTAGTCTACGCGACGCTCGCGACTCTTACGTGCTCTCTGTACTTACGGAATTGCGCCTTGCCTCGCCGTCTCGTTGAAATTGCGGAGCATGGGTACGAGGCCGTTGCTGTGGCCGTTGGTGCCGCGAATGTAGGAGCCGCCGGCACGCACGTTCGAGATTGCCACGCCAATTCCACCGGCAGACTTGGAGATGGAAGCGCACTGCTTCCTTGGTCTCTCTTAGTCTTGGAAGGAAGAAAGGATCCTTTCACTAGGTTTGG